GAACCATTCTTTGTTAACTGCCGTGTCTGTTTATTGAACTGTATCTACCAATGTAAAGCTGATCAAATATATAATTTGGAATAATTTAGTAGTTATTGATAGATTAGTCCTGTTTTTAGGGTGTTTGGTTAGCGTTTTCAAGGGTTGTCAGGGGTTTAGTTAGCATGGGGTTTCTGTATAATTTTGTTCTGTATATCTCCAATTCTAGATGTGTTAGTAAGATATATTAGTGTCAGTCCCCTATTCTCAAGCTTCAGATAGCTTATTGAGGTGTCCAATTCCACATATCTGCATTGTGTCTTGTGATTTTACCCGTTTTTTCAACCGTTTGTGAATAAAATGAATTGTTCCGGTAAATGTCGAGCCATTTCAACTCTAAGGACTATTAAAAGCATGAAACCTGCACTGATGTAACTCCAAGCAGCCCAGTCCATATGACTTACCCAATCACAGGACAATTTAACACCAACGCCACAGAATAGCACACCAGAGACAAAAATACAGTTTGCATAGAGTGCCAATATGCAACGAAGAGGATGTCATCGTCTTTCATTAAGGCACGTGTGTCGAGAAGTGTTTCAACCCTTCAGTAACTAACAGAGCAAATATTGACCGAAAAAAAGTTCCTTTAAACTAACGGCACGGCAGAAAAGCGGTGACAGACATGCGACATAGATGCAGGATTCCTTAAGCTGCATGCTGTGTTATTAGGGGGGAATCGAGCAGGTGTGCAAAGCTGAGAGAGGACCCTCCTTTTGACAGCAAAAACAGGTTCTTAAAGTTTGCACTGTTATTAGCTTAGCCAGCGAGACATTAGGTGGAGTTAAGTATGACTAGAAAGGCGTTTTAGTAGGAAAACAGAGTGATACACATGGGCAGAGCTGGTGTCAGTCGGTGCCTTGTACCCCCAAATCTCTGGCGGAAGGAGCGTTAAGTGCAGAAAAAAGGGTTGCATAAGTATTCTTAATGCTATTGAAATCACAATATGGACTAGGGCTGTAACCACATTGTAGTAAGAGCAATATTTGGTAGAATCAGAATCAGAATTCCTTTTATTAGTCCCACAGCAGGGAATGTTACAGCGTCTCAGCAAAGGTGACATGGCAGAAGAAAGGCAAGCAATGAAAGAAGGCAACATGTTGAATATATAGAGTAAAGCTGCACATATCTTTCTGAATGAGTGCCAGCCTACAAACAGCATCTTTGTTTGTACTTTAAAAAAGTTTTCAATCACAATGTGACTTATGTTTCAAAAACGATCGATCAATACTGGAATCATGTCGCAATTGTAAAATCAGCCAATATGATCTCAACTTTGTTATTTTTCTCGAATCGTGCAGCCGTGTTTCAGACAGAGAGAAGTTTGTTTCAACATTTCACAATCACCACATTCCATCTGCTTGCATACTTCTACACCTGTCTGTGCCTGCCGCCTCTCTCTCAAAAACACCTGGAGACACTCGCCCCTTGTTGGGTTTACCTTCCTTCGAAAACATTCAAGACTCAAGCTATTTTACCGTCATATATACAGTGAAACAGGCAGTTGCACAGTACAATGAAGTCCTTATGTTTCCACTCTCCATACCTAAATATTAACAAGCATATGAGATGAAAACTAGCATAATATAAACTGTCATACATGAAAAGATTCCTGTCCCAAAAGATGTGCTGCACGATAAAACAAAAAATAAGATATTTAAACAGCAGGGTAGAGTATAGTGTTTGAATGTATAAACAAGCATAAGAATTGATAGATGAATCTGTGCACAACAATAACCCCTCTTGTTAAAAAAAACAACAACTTTGCATCTTGAATTGAATCCACGGCAAACAGAGCGTCTAAACTCACCGGTGTTGTGTGTAGCTTGTTGCTGGGCCACTGTCTCACTGCTAGCACTGTGTCCCATGCTATGGCTCCCGTCCCCACTGGCCTGCCGGGCCCTTCCTCCCCCGAGGTCGGCGGCAGGTCCTAAAACTTAAAGCCACCTCGCTCGTCTAAAACCAGACATATCGGAGCTCCGGTAACTGAACACTGCGTGGTTTACTCTCCTGTCTCTCTAAAAGTCTACTCCCTCTCTCCCTTCAGCCTGTGTTCTCTCACTCCCTTTTCCTCCCCTCCTTCTTCTTCTTCTTCTTACACTTTAAAACACAAACACTCCCCTCCCCTTCCTTCCTTCCTTCTTGGAGCTCTGACTTCATAAATAAGGTACGCCGATATGGTAATCCGGCCACATGCCTGTCATTCCTGAGAGCACATTTTTCAGGGGCAAAGTTCACGGAGAGCTTTGAGGTTTGGCCACCAGTCCATCAAGGGATCGAGGGATTTTGGATGCAGTGCTTCCTCCCCCCCCCCCCCCCCCCACACACACACACACACACCCACAAACACACACCCACAGACTGACTCAACAGTAGGGCGGGGGGGGGAGGGCCCTGCAGGGGGGAGGTAACCGGAGAAGTGGAAGGTGAGCCGAGCCAAGGTGGAGCTCAAAGCCAGAGAGCAGGAAGTGACTCAGAGTCCAGTGACTCTGCAGGGTTTGTCCTTTTAAACTATATGACATGTGAACTGATAACACCTTTATTAGATCATAGCAACTGTGTTTTACAGCTACACCTGATCCCTTTCACTATATGGGCATGAATTAAGGCTGGGAGGTTATTTAATATTCAGTGTCTAGTTTTAAATTAGACTTTTCAAGGTGCTGAGCTTTAGGAAGCATGCAGTTTAAATATGAGTACGGTATTTAGGCCTGGGTGATTTTATAATTTATTTAATGATATATATTTATCGAGATATCATGCTAAATGGATTTAAAAAAAGGAAATAACTTCATTTTTAAGGCAATGTGTTGAAATATTTGGAGGGAATTTCTTTTAGATTTGACTTAAAACTGTTCATATTGCATAAAAGTACAAAAATAAAAACCTTTTTGTCATGTATTATAAAAGGAAATGTGGTAGTTCTAGGAAGAAAGTCAGAATTTGGGGGAAATAATGTGTTTTTCTCAAAAATCTTACTTTTTTTCTTCAAAGAAATCTTACTTTTTTTTCTTAAATCTTACATTTTTCCTTTAAAAATCGGACTCTTTTTTTCTCTAACAATTAAGCATTTTTTTCCCCACAAAATTCTGACTTTTTTTCTTTAAATTCAGACTTTTTGTCCTAAAATTAAGAAGTTAGTATTAAGTGAAAGAGGAGCTATGAATGTGTTTAGTCTATCGTGAAACTGCTAACTCTTTAAAACATGCCACATCACTGTTGCTCCCTCTGCAGCCTCATTACAGCATGAAGGGAAACTGACAGAGGAACGTCGGGAATGCAAAACCGTAATCCAGCATATTTGGAAACAGGACGGCAAATCGGCCAATAATCCAAGAAATCTCAGGTAAACAAAAAGGGATAACACCCAAAATATAAATCTGTTTCCAAAAAGCAGCACCAGATGGAGACAAACACATTGTTCATCCACATGAGAACATGAATCCCAGCTGAACAAAAACATGACTCACACAAATACCAGCACACGGTGTCATAAATGACAACCCAAAAAAAACATTCAAATGTGACACGAGTAAACACACTGGGTGACTTTGCCAAATCTGGTCAAAACACAACAAGTCGAGTTCTTAAATTGCCATGTCTTCTTGTCTGAAAACACATCAGTTTTTTTTAGAGGATAGGGCAAAGAGGAAGTCTGGTTTATTTTGGTCCAGATAGGGAAGAGTAGATCAAGCTTCCCTAATCTGTTCCTGCAGTGACCTGAAAGGCTGTAAAGGGATCTAAAGCCATGCGCTATCCTGCGTTGGCTTTTTAAATACAGCAGAGCAATGAGTGATCACTTGCTTTCAATACGGTCTCAATCAAATTATAACTATTCAACACATTGTACTCATGAACAGATACAAATACCAAAGCACGATAATTAGGGCTCAGACACTAAATATAAAAGATTTCAAATATATCTAACTAACGTGTAGAATTGGAAAGAGTTCATGTATTAAAACAGACTAAGCTAAAAACACCTACAAATTAAATGTAACTAACCTTAAATACTAAACACAGCTTTGTCAGATTTAAAACCCAACCACAGCTATTTTGTCAGTCAAAAATGTAAACACGTAACTGAAAATAGAGATATTAACTGAAATATAAAAGCAGCTTTACTCACGAATATATTCAGAGTGAACAGCCATCCAAGATATTTTCGTAATGTCACTACACAGTTGAGTCTGGGTTTAATAATCCTCTGGTGTTTAGTGCAGTTTGTCTGTCAATGATACTGAAGGTAGTGACAGCGAGAGAAACTGCTAACCTACAGGTGTGTCCTCTGGGCGAGAGCCAATCAGATCGTGTCACAGGGACGCCCTTTTAACGGACAGATTCATAACCACACACTTTGTTTGTTGACTCACCACTTTCTGTCATCACGATACTACGGCTCAGATAAGAGCAGTCTCACTGCAGCCTACACTGGGTTTATAAGAGATTTCATAATGTTTGTTTTATTTCAGAATGTATTTTTACACCTCTGATGCAATGGTATGTACAAAGAATATACGAAAAATGTAAAAATAATGACAAAATATATGAATTAAACCCGATACAATTTTGATGGTATGACATCAAATTAAATACAACATATATTATATTTGATTTAAATCATTGATGAATTGATTTATATAAACAAATACAAATAAAAAGGTAGGGTTTTTTATTTTTTTAAACCTAATGATATAAAGATTTGTTTAAATTTGGTTAATATATTTTATTTTTATAATTTTCTATTGGCAAAACGACATTTTAGATTGACATTATTTATTATAATCATATCAACCTCAAATCACATTAATGTTTTTTATGCAATGGTTTACAGATAGAGATCAAATGTATGGATACAACATTCAGATTAAATGCTATCAACCTCAGATTTAGGTCTTCAATAGATTTGCTTATAACTTTTATGCAACAAGCGAAATGGAAGAAGTATGAAAGCGTCTTACCAGGATTTTCCATCACGTGTCCAAAACTCAGCAGTCAGCAGCTCCTGAAACAAATTAACCAACGGGATCATTAAGACATTTATTTATTAAAATACATTTAAATAACCATAATAACACAGCGTATTACTCCATTATAATAAGTCTATTTAACATTTGATTGTGAGCATATAATGTCACTTTCTCATTATGTTTTATTGGGCTTGTTTCAAATACTATTGTAATACAAACATTTGAATAGATGGAATATTTTTGACTGAATTTAAAGGTCACCTATCATGCTATTTTTAGGCAATAGCATAGGTCTCAGATATATAAAAAATATATAAAAAACATGTCTATGAAGTGTTTTGGTCAACAACAAAAAAACGGATCACCCATTCTAGCCATGCCTCATATCCCTCTATTTCACTTCCTGTTTCAAAAGTGCTGATTCTGGGTATAAACAGGTCTCTCTTGAGAATGAGACGCTGGGTGTTTCTCAATGTCGAGGAAGGCTGCTCTCTCTCTCGGTCGTCCTCAGACGAGCCCTCCATCGTCGCTTCCAGTCATCCCGGTTCTCCATACATCTCGCCAGTTCACCATCCGCTGCGATGTTCCTGCGGACTCCCGCCGCTGGAAGTATAGCATTTGGGATGACTTTGTTCTTCATGGTTGGCTTTACTATGCTGATTAAGGACTGGGGAGCGCAACTCCTCTCAGTCCTGGTTTTTAGTTCAGAGTGTCCTTCTCCTAGATGGGTTGCCTTCCATGGCTATGAGCCCCATCTGCCCCTGCTATTTGCCCATAGCTGGGGAGCAGTTTTAGGGAACGGTGCCTTGCTCAGGGACACCTCGGTAGCACTTGGTCCTTCCGGGACTTGAACTGGTGACAAGTTGCCAAGCCAAGTCCCTATGGACTTTGCCACCACCGCTCCAGAGCCACTATTTCAAGGATACTACGTCATCGAGTCCCGCCGAAGGACTGTTCCAATGTCCAGGTTCCTTGGAATTCTACCGAGGCAGGCGTACTTCGTTGCGGGAAATTTCGAGGCTGCACATGTGTAGACTCCGCGGTCTTGAAATCCCCACAATGCTTTGCGCACGGACCAATTTCCAAATCTTTGGCGGAAATCGCGCTCCATTTAACACACCTGTTAGCCTGTTCCACAATTCTTCGTTTTCCGAGGCTAGGAAGGATTCTTGCCTCGCTTCTGAAGCAACTGACTTGGAGGTACATGTGCTACCAAGCAAGCCTCCTCGATATTGAGAAACACCCACCGTGTCTCAATGAGATTTTCACCTGTATAAAAATAAGAGGGGGCGGAGCCAACGTCGGCTCATGCGGGACCTGGCAGATACTGGCTAAAATGCTGCAGTGATGAAACAAGGATTATTAGATCAAGGATTATTTCTGAAACAGTATGGAGCTAAAAGGCTTTCTCTCTTGCCGGTTATACCACAAGGTGAGTTCCTTCTTATTTCCTGCTTCTTCACACACATGCTCTCCAGTACAGGTTAGCTCTGAGTGTTAGCGATGCTAATGTAAACACCGACCATATTACATCCAAAACAGTCAGGCATTGTTTCTGATAGCAACGTTTCTGATAGGGCCGTGGGTCCACATTTCCGATATTACGTCATATCGGACGCAAATCTGGATCAGCTCCGTTGTACCACAGTTTTTAGAGATTTGGGTACGGAGGAAAAGAGAGAGGGTTTTATTTTCTGACGCTGCGTGAGTTCCCCGACACACCGGGGACACATATTTATGTATAAAAGACATCAAAAAGTGCATTTTGCATGATAGGTCCCCTTTAAAGATGAATTGTAAATAATCAAATTAATCACATTTGTCTAGAATCCTCATGTTTTACAGAAAGCTTGATCTATAATCATGTTTTTGTTTATGGGTTTATTTGTGATACAAGATCTAAAATTACAAACAAAAAATCACCAAACATTTAAAGTCCGGTCACAACTTGAGCATGTGAATAATGCAAATGTCCTCAAGATGTCAGCAGCAGTGAAGTTACTGTTGAAACATTTGAACAAGTTGAATCACAAATGCAGCAGAGCAGCCTCCCTGATGTGTTGTTGCTGAACATCGAGGGACAATCGACACTTCTGACAAATCACCCCAGTTTGTTTTAGCACCAAATCAATCCCACACAATCCAATGAATAACAAAACACACTCAGTAGTTCACAGTGTGACGAGGCTGAGATGAATTGAGGCCAACTCTGCACAAAGCTGCAGAAATAGTAGCAAAATATGATGACAATAATCAGAATACTTTATATATCCAGGGGCGAATCGTGTCTTAGAATGAAATAAAATAAAATATGAATAAATCAAAGATATAATGAAAATATTACACATCGCAAAATGTCCAATAGAAAAAGTTAAATGAAAATAATACTAAAAAATATGCTATACACATGAAGTTGAAGTAAAAAAAGCACATACTTAAAAAATGTTTAGCAGAAAATCTGATGAGTTTTTTAAGGATATATTACATTTTGATTCAGCATCAAGTCATCATTCAACACTACCTCGCAGCCAAAGTCACCCTTAATATCATATTTTCCTTATTTAAATTAATATAACTATGCTTTACATTTGGTTATTTCACATAGATAAATGCTGTGCTGCGATTTACTGTTTATCGTTATGTCCATATTTTAATAATTCCTGCAATTAAAATGCACACTTTGATACTTAAATATGTACTACGCATTCCTGTCTAAATTGTTGTGTTCCTAACTATGTGCCTTCAAACAGGAAATAAAGATGTCAAAGCACAGGAAAGGAGGAAGTGATGAATACAACAACACTATTTAAACGTCCTGTACACTTCAGGGCAGAGCAGCCGGGCAGGGGAGGATCAATAGTGTCAATATCAGGATCACCAGCACAGATAAGAGTCTGGCATCGACCAACATAACGACCGTCTGTATTCAAATCACAGCCCGGCCTGTGATTGGTCAACATTAGCAGGTGTGGCTACATGCTAACGCTAACAGGGGAGGGTCCTTCAGCGGTATCAGGCTGACCTTTGGAATGTCAAAAGTCCTCTGACAACAAACTGTGTGTGACACCGTGAGTGTGAATTTGTATGTGTATATGTGTATGTGTATATATGTGTATATGTGTATGTGTGTATGTGTGTGTGTGTGTGTGTGTGTGTGTGTGTGTGTGTGTGTGTGTGTGTGAGAAAGGACAGAGTGGAATGCAACTATTTGACCTCCTTACCAGGTGGACTAGGCCTTGTTCAGATGGACAGATAAAGCACCGTTTCTCTGGGGAATTCCGCTCTAAAATGTATGTGTGTTTAAAGAAAAGGGCAATACGTGACTTTATTCAGTTAAAAAAATGTTGTGTTGTTTCACAAACTTACTTTTGTTTGAGATCATTGATCGTAGATTCGAAATGCTGTCCTTGAAATCTGTCTGCAGTGGGACAACGTAGCAGCAAAATTAGGAAACTCCTGTAAGGTAAACAAACAAAGATTATTAATCATGATAATTATAATAATATGAATAATACATTTTATTTATATAGAAGCATTCGAACAGTTTCAAAGTGCTTTCACATAAGAACTAAATATTTTATACAAACAAACAAAGAAATCAAATATACTTAAAGACAGCAACTAAACAAACACACAGAAATTAAACAAATAGAAAGCAATGAAACCTAATAAGAATCACAAAGAAATATAAAAGTGGGTTTTAAAAGTGACCTGACAGAGGTCTATCATACTAACAAGAGGAAATAAATTAATAAGTGCAATAAATAATTCATTAGAATTCATAAAAATATACCACCAAGTTGTTTTTAAAAATAATGATCTTGCTAACTTCAGACACCCCTCTGTCTGGTCCGCTTTGGTTCAGTCCAACCGGTCTGACAAGTGTTGCTGTAATGTACACAGCACATGTCCAACAGCTGTAGGCGGGGACACATGTCTGCACTGTAAACTCATGCAAAGGGTTCTTTAAAAAGACAATGTCCACTGCTCTAATGTGCATTACGTCCATCAGGTTGTCCACGATATGTCCACAGAAATACTCTAATAAAGAGCGATTTAAAGCTCATCCTGCAAGATTGATCTACTTTAAAACTTAGATAATGTAACTGCTCACAGCAGGAAATATTTAATAAAGTGGGGTTAAATCAGAAACGTGACTCTTATCAGGTAACTGAGCTCTTACTGGTACGATCAAATCATTCATTTCCAATAAATACACACTAGGGGTAAATGGTATCGTGGCATGCCAGAGTATTAAAGTTGATGGTTATCATACTGTGTACATGTGTTTATCTTCAGTATTGAAAAATACTTACATAAGTAAAAATAGGAGCACCTAAAGTATATTTGAATTATTAATAATCATAGCGCATTATTTTGAAAGCTGACCAAATAGTTTAGTAGTTAATGTAACATGCTAAAGTGCTGCTAACGTGTAAACAAACATGCTTCAGTTTTGAACAAATTATGGTTACAAGCCAGTTTTTTTTATTAGGTTTCTAATTCTGTTCTTTTTTTTTTTAGGGGTCATTGTTACTGACAGAACAAATGATAATAATAGAGTGACGCAGTGGGCTGTGCGTTTGATCATCAGATCATCAGATCAAGGGGGTGTTCGGGAACTCCAGTTCAAAACCCGCCTCCGGCGCCACTGCGTCAGGCCGTTGTGTCCTTGGCCAAGACACTTCACCCGAATTTGCTCCTGTGGGTACTGTCCACAGTACATGTATGATATCAATGTGTACTTGTAAAGCGCCTTGATGACTTTGAGGTGTGAAGATGGGCGGTGTGGCGCAGTGCGCTGTGCATTGATTATCAGATCAAGGGGGCGAAACCCGCTGCCGCTGCGTCTGTAAAGCCGTTGTGTCCTTGGGCAAGACACTTCACCTGCATTTGCTCCTGTGGGTATTGTCCACAGTACATGACCATTACATGTATGTATGATATGTATGTGTAATGTGTATTTGAAAGGAGCGCTTTGAGAGTCATTGAAAAAGCGCCATAATAAATATAAGGATTATTATTAATAATAGTGTATTAACCCGATACAAATCTCATAACAACCCTGACACATCCATGTATTGTCAACATGGCACAAGTAAAAGAAAAATGTATGGAACATAGTTTTTTTTTTGCCTGAAAATCAATCCAATAAAATAGCTGAGCTTATATTAAAATAACAACGAATTTGACTTCTCACCATTCAAAAAAAGCTACTTTATCCATGCATTATTCACTCCCTCCGACCTGCCCATAAGGAGAGAAGTTGATCCGCACTTCAACGCACAAATAATTGACGAGATAAAGTCTGGTCTCAAGTATCCTCCACAGCACTCCAGCTCGAAATAAAACAACTACAGGAGCCGGCGAAAAGCAAACAGGTGAGTTAATGTTCAGCCAAACTAATCCACTATGTCCCTGCATTGTAATGTGGAGAACACCACGTCACACACACACACCCAGTCCTCTCATCATTTCACATACAATCCAAAGGTTGAGTTTCCTCATGTCCGGTTTCAAGTCTTTGTTGTCTCTGTGACAATTATCTCCACATTCACCGAGTACAATTTAAACCACTGTAAGCAAATCGGCAGCCAGATTTACAGGTTTTGTAACAAGATCCATCCGCGGTATTTTAGTATTTTCACACGAGTGCAAGTGTGAACGCCTTATTCTGTTGTTTAATAGAGTCGAGCTCCGAGGCCTCTTACGCATTATTCAAAAAGCCTGCAATCATTTAAAGACTAACCCTAACCCTTTAAATCGACGTAAAAGAACGGTTGGTATTGCAATATGAATAAAGTCTACAAAAAATGTCAATATAATGCAATGTGTCAAATAAACAGGGCGACTGTGGCTGCGAGGGAGTGCGGTCGTCTTTCAACCAGAAGGTTGTGGGTTCGATCCCAGCCCATGCAGTCAACATGTAAGGAGGCATGTGGCGCAGTGGGTTGTTCGTTGGTGTTCGAATCAGTCACAGGTTCAAACCCCACTGCAGTCAGCATGTCGTTGTGTCCCTGAGACACTTCACCCCAAATTGCTCCTGTGGGGATTGCCCAAAGTATTGAGTATGTAAGTCGCTTTGGATAAAAGCGTCTAACAAGTAAAATGTAATGTCATGTCGATGTATCCTTGGGCAAGATACTTAACCCTGAGTTGCTCCCGATGGCATGGCCAACAGTGTGTGAATGTGTGTGAATGTTAGGTCCTAGAGTAAGGTACACTGCTCTGTATGAATGGGTGTGAATGGGTGAATGACATGTAGTATGTAAAGCGCTTTGAGGGGTCTTAAAGACTGGATAAAGCGCTATATAAGTACAGTTCATTTACAGTCCAGTCCATATGTGTGTTTGATAGTGAGCAATCGGCTTACAATTAGAGGTGCATGATTAGTCTATAGTCAGAAAAATAATCAGCAGAAACTCTTTTAATAATCGATAAGTTAGGTTTCAGTCGCTAAAGAATGGAGAGTTCCTTCTTTTCTCTATTTCATATCATGATAAAGTGAATATCTTTGGGTTTTTTTAAATGACAAAACAAGACATTTAAAGACATAAGCTTGGACTGCTATGAATAGTTTTCTCTATTTTCTCACATTTTAAACAGCAAAAGATGAATTGATTCATCTAGAAAATGCTTCTAGAGAAAGGTTACTGTATGTCTTTCATTGTTTGCATAATAACTGCCATGCAGGCAATAAACTAATACTTGGTCAAAGATAACCAAATACTGTTTATATGAACTGTACTGGGCAAGAAGCAAAACAATACAATTTAGATTCTACATTTTTCTAAGACACTTTCCATTGTAATAATATTCGCAATCTAAACTGTTAACAAACCTTAATAATGTAGATTGTACTCAAGGCCAAAAGGAACTAAATAACTCCAATGATTGACTGTAGGAAATGCCCGAGGTAGTTCATACTCTAGTTGACATAATATTCCTTTCACAAAGTTAACGTTTAAAATCAGCTGTTCTTTGTTTGCTCTGAAAGTTCATGCATTCCACACAATCCTGTTTGTTCACAATAAGCTCCTAATTAGCTCGTTAGGAACTGGCAGTCCTCTGGATGAAAGGCTGAGAGGGTTTCATCAGCTTCAGGCTCATTCTGCACACTTGGCTCAGACTGAATGAAGAACCAGGAGGCTGTTTGTTTGGGAACGATACATGCATCTCAAAGAGGCCTCTGTCAGCCGCTATGGCTGATAACAAACATCCCACACAGACAACCACAACATTCAAATACTCAAGCAACTCCATTCTGAACACATCTCTATTCTATTCATGACAATTCAAACTAGCTTGTTTTAGCAACTTTGACATTTTATTTACAATGCAAAATTGCCTAGAAATCAGAGCATTCATCTGCAGGAGCGTCTGTTATAAGCTTTAGTTTAACAAAGACAAGCTTTAGGAATATCTTGGTTCAGAACATATGTGGCAGATAGTGTTCCTTGGTGTGTAGAAGTACAGGAAAAACTAGCAGAAACTAGAATGTTGAGTAAGCATATTCCTAGAAATGCACCAAAAACGAGTTCCTCTGCAAAGTTTGAACAGGAATCTGAAAATTCTTGTTGGATGTTGTTGACATATCAGAGTCAAAGGTATTTAGCGAGGTGATTTCTGATATCTCTTTGTATTACTTAACAAATCAGATGTAGTTAAAAGCCATAAAAAAACATGTTTGGTGGGTTTTTAAGTTATTTGAATCAGGCTATGAATGATGTAAGAAAAAAAAGGCTCAGTAAAAGCAAACTTCAGAATACAGATGACTTGAAAATTCATTAAAAAAGACCAGGAAGGTATGTATGGTCAATCTCCACACATTTTGAAAGATACTACAAGAGTAAAACCAAGTAACCATGGAAAATGTACTAATATCATGAAATATCTCGAGTTAATTACTTACCTTAAGTCAAATTATTTTAAGTGTTACATGTTAAAAACTACAAGTAGCATTATCTAACGCTCACTTGTTGTCAGTTAGGGATAAATCTACAGATGTAAATAGACCACACTAGTGAGCACCTCAATGTGTATTTTGGACATTTCTTTTCCAACTAGCATTTCAACAAACTGACCAGAAAAAAGTATGTTTTGTTGTGCCACTCCGTAAAAATGTTTCAAGTTCTTGAGACTTTGAAAGTTGGATAGCTGCAATAGAAGGTGTTATTTGTGAAAAAGACTACAGTTTAAGCCATGAAGGGTGGCCAATTCTCACCACTCGAATCCTCTGAGAAATCAATACCAATCCCCTGCAACATGCCACATCACCACCAACGTGAAACACTACCTGCTTTTACATAACTCAGATTGAAAATGAAATGTACCATCATGTCTTCAGTTCCATGGATGCCAAGCTGAATCTCTGTCAGATGCGACGACCCACTATCTGAATACAAAGCCCAATAACACGACCGACCTGATTACAATGCGGCCTATCTAGAACAAATAGCTGCAGTTCCCTTTGTCTTTCCTCTTTTAAAGAGTCTGTGATGTCCTATAGGGCGTATTAGTGCTTTCAGTCAGTACTAAAGAAATGTCTGCTTGTTGGAACATGTAGACGGGCCTGTGAAAGGAATGCAGTGAATGCTAAAGAGACAGGCACTTTTTTTGCTTAACCTGCAAGCTAAATATATTTAATACTGAACAAGAGACTCACAATAAAAGACGCGAAGTTGTTGCATTTGGTTGAATCAGAAGTCCTCTTAGCAATTATAGTTTAGTCTTAGTAATAACACTCAATTATTGAGTATGATAACAGTGACCTTGTTAATCCCTATGAGGAATTTCCAAATGTTTACTGTATTTTCTAACTCCTGTACAATGTCTGCTGCTGTAACATAGCTTTAACTACCGTTACATGTACATGTAAGTTACCCAACCACCTAACAGTGGTGTAAAGTAACTAAGTACATTTACTCAAGTACTGTACTTAACTACAATTTTCAGATACATGTACTTTACTTGATTGTTGTTGTTTTGCTATTTTGTAAATGGCGTACTTTTACTCCACTACATGTATTTAATACCTTTAGTTAATTTACAGATTTGGATTAATGATGGGAAATATAATCATATTATTCTGAAATGGACCAATCTGCAGAATGACTACTTTTACCTTAAGTATATTTTGATGCTCATACTTTTCTATTTTTACTTGAGTAACATTTTGAAAGCAGGACTTTTACTTGTAACACAGTATTCCAACACTCTGGTACTTCTACTTTTACTTAATTCCAACATCTGATTACTTCTTCCACCTCTGCAAGCTTATACAATACAGGTAAAGGTAGCAGGTACTTGTAAAGACAAGTTATCTATTACCAAAGTCTGAATCCAGTCATTTTCCTTCTCTGTTTTCTCTTCTCCTTACTAATGTGACACACTAGATCTAGGTGTGAGAGCTAAAGATAGAGACGCACTGCCATAATGCTAATCCTCAGCTAGCCTGGGTAAATTAGAGCAGCAACAGGTAGCTGATGGATGTATAAAGAGAGAGAGAGAGAGAGAGGCGGGGCCCCATTCATTTCTATGAGAGTTACTCAGTGGCGCATGAAGCCAGAAATAGAGCGACTGTAGATCAAGAAAGTACCCGGATGTGGGCCCACAGAGCATGCGCAGTAGAGGTTTCCCTTATCTCCTCTCCGACCTTTAGACGATAATGATTTAAATAAGGGCTATTAAAGTGTTCAAAATGGGTATTTAAAATGTCTTACACGCTGATTTATATACGTTAATTCTGTATTATTCTGTATATTTTATAAGGTTTACATACGTATTGTTTACTGAGAATATTGTTTATTTTTTCTCTCTGTCTATTCTAAATCAATGGGGAAGAGTCTTTTTGACCTAAAACGACGTCACGTAAGTTGTAGTACCGTCGTTTGGCCAATACGTCCATTCATAAAAACCGGCTTCAACGGCTGTTCCAGTACTTTAGCAATTAGCTTAGTTAGCTAACACAAATTAGCTCACATTTGCCGTTGGATCTCAACAAAACGTATGCATTATGGTCCACAGAAGTTACTCACCTTTTCTTATAGTCGGCTATCCTGTGTTGGAGTGTATCCAAAAGGTAAGTGTCGTGTTTTTATCCTCCTTTGTCGTTGTTTATCCCGTACCTGATTACTTTTGACACTTGTCGCTGCTGTCCATCACAAGGCGGAAGTAGCTTCACTAACTACCGAATAAAGTCACAAAACTAACAAGAAAAAACAACCAACGCATTCAGGTATCGTCTAAGTTGTTCCCCAATTGGAGTAACAGCCGTTAAATGTTGTTGTTTTAAAAAAAATGTTTGTTAGAACTTTGCTGTCAGAAAAGGTGTTGCATGGTTAACTCGGTAGGCAGATTAAGTACGGCTGCGCATGCGCACTTCGCAGCAGGGTGACTGCTCCCCCATCTAGTGAACTGTAAACACCGCGAGATCACGTGACCAGCTGAGCTCCCTGGATGCTGTGCTGGCAAATTACATTTTTGGTAAAGATTGTAACCATAACAAAATAAATACAAAAAAGTTACGGTGAATAACTAACACTTTAGTTATAGGGACAAGGAAGGGTTTGGTTTCCCCCCCTAATTTAACATATTTCCAATTTGCAAGCACAATATACTACTACAAAAAAAGTTAATCTGACATCTTTATTTAATACTTTAAAAATTAAGCTTTTTTCACACAGAACATATGAAGAGTTTGACAATAAGATCATCTCTTTTGGGGGTCATTACAGTAATGTTACAGTAAAGAAAAGAATAACATATATACATAATAAAGAAAAACATTAACATTTTCCAAACTCTTACATTTATTTTATCATTTCCTGATTTACAAACCAAACAATGGATTCTTTTAAAAACAATAATCAAATGATGTACGCTTTTATTCATTTAGTAAATTGTAAGTATATTTCTCTCATTAATTCTAAATAAAGCAATTTGTTTCATCACTTTGATTTCCAAACAGATTGAAACATTTCCCAAGCGTAAATGTAAGGACATAAAATATGTCTATTTCAATCTGGGAGGAAATAAAATAGCATTATATTACATGTATATATAATTGTTTTCAAAGAAATAGCTTGTTGAGACATTTCCAGCTTATTTCTGCTATCTACATTTTGAGTTTCATTCAACTCCTTAAACCTCAGTAAAATCCACATCCCTGTTTCTACAGAAGGAACAGCAGTCAAAAAGTTTGAACATTGTGACCTCTCCTGGTCGTTTGTTGAACTGCATGTTGTGAGCACATTGCACGTTTTGGTGGCACTTACACCATCGTTTAAAAGATGTGTCTGCCATCTACTGGCTGGTAAAGACTATGCCACAGAGTGTAAAAGCTGCAGGAGGAGAAAGAAAAACTACTCAATAATCACCTGTAAAATGCATCACTTTTTGCAGAGGTGGCAAAAAGTACAAAACCACAATGAAAGTATAATACACAAGTACAAGTCCTGCATTTAACCCTCCTGTTGTCTTCGGGTCAAATCTGACCGATTTACTACTTTCATCAATCATAACTTTTTTGTTTTACATTCGATTGCATTAAGGCTTTATGATATCCTTCACAGTAGACATTTGAACATATAATTGCTGATCACCACTTTCATAGAATTTTGGATGATTTAGTCAACTTTGTAACACCCATGGTGTTCCCGGTCAAAAATGACCGCCATAAAGAAAAGGAATTAGTAACCATCCGGATCAGATAAAACACACACATAAACACCCACCCACACACACACAAACACACACACACACACACATACTCTAGATGTGTTCCCCCCCTTATGTGCCCAATCCCCCCATGTGAATCACACCTGGCACACACAAACACACACACACACACACAGAACAATTTGACACATTTCCCGCTCTTATGTGCCCATCCCCCCACATGGATCACACCTGGCACACGCAATACATGTTCAGTGTCTATTCTTTGTATAATTACTGCAGTTTTTCATGTATACCAGTAGTCTGATACAATATGTACAGTTTGAAAGGGTGTTAAATGAAATTTGGTGATGATTAATGTTTTTTGTGTTAATGTAATAGCAGTTAAAACAGGACCGGTCAAATTTGACCCAGAACACCAAAGTAAGGGGGGGAAAACGAAGACAATAGGAGGGATAACTATCTATACTTGTTCTGCCTGTAACAATGTCAAATGGCCTTCTGTCGGACGAATAAAGGTTTTGTGGTTCTTATATCGGCTAAAGATATTCAGTCGTCAGATAAAAAGTATAATATGTCGTAGCTCAGTCAGTATAAGAGTAGTTTTGGCTCTATGAAACCTGGTGTACTTATATGATTCTGTTTTCTTCAAGTTTGTATCTTCTTGGTCGAATGCACTTATTGTAAGTCGCTTTGGATAAAAGCGTCAGCTAAATGCAATGTAATGTAAAGTAGAAAGTAGCATAAAGTGGAAATCCTAATACCTCAAATTTGTAATTAAGTAATTGTACTTACACCACTGCCTTTTTGTTGTTACATTAAAACGTCTTCATCAAACTAAATAATAATTAAGCTTTATAGCACTTTTCATACAACACATGCAGCTCAAAGTGCTTTACAAAATGACACATCACAAGTTAAAAACAAGCAACAAGAAATTCCCCTCAGATTATTTGTTAAGAACTTTAAAAGGTACATGCAGCAACACATAACATTTTATCAGGTTATTGGACACAAGGAGGTAAAAGGTATGATAATACAAATTAATTTAAATAAATAATCGTTTCTCTCTGACAGGTAAGACACAAGACAACTGAGTCGATGCAACAATATAAAATATAAAACCCTATAAAATCTCTATATGAAAGAATAAACACGAAAAATGTAACTTTTAGAATCAGAATCTGCTTTATTACCAAGTTTATATATGAGGAATTTGTTTTGGTATAAGTCACATGTGTCAAACTCAAGGCCCGGGGGCCGTGGTGGATTTAATTTCTGCCCGCAGGATAATTTTTAATTACTATTAGATCTGGCCCGCCGGTATATTGCACGCACACCTTCACCTTTCCTCAGCTGACCCCAAACATTGATGAACTTGCACCCAAGTCGAGATGCCAAGTATCTGGCTTGAACTAGCATCACAGAGCAGCACACTGAGTTTCAATGGATGTTTCCTTCTGCACTTTCTTTCTTGCGACAACAGGGCATGTTTGGTTTTCTCTTTGATGGAAATAGTTTTTTTGAAGCTGTTGTTGGCCTGTGGAAAAATGTAATCATAAGAAATGACTCGGGAAAAGCTGCAGATAGAGCCATAAGAAATGAATGCAACTGATTATTTAATGTTTAATGTTGTTTTTATAGGCAATAATTTAAGCTTTGTTAGTTCCAGATGTAATATGTGCTATAAGTTCATTTCAATAAGTTTTGCAATAAACATTGAACCAGTCCGGCCCTCGACTAGTACCCATTTTTAAATTTTGGCCCACTGTGTATTTGAGTTTGACACCCCTGGTATAAGTGGTGCAGACAGAGAATACCAACCAGAAAATAATCCAAAAAATAATACAATTATAAAAGCTAAGGCTATTGCAAGAAATAAAAAATGAAGACAATATTTACACAACATATAGTTCCTCAAATATTTGCAGGCATCGAAGAACAAGGCGTCGATGCCAGCGCTGATACTGCAGCGGTGCTTTTCATGTAAATGTGTGTGCCCTTTGTCAGCCTGGTATTAGAAAGTAAACAGTGTTTCTGCTGTGAGAATAGCGGCCGCAGACATTCCCAGTCTGGAGTTGTTTTTCTGCTGAATTCTCGACATCTAGAGGAACTGTTGGGTCTGAAGGACACAAAGAGAGCCTGCTGCTGACCTTTACTCTGACCCGGTGTATTCCCACTGCCCCAGACAGGGTCTCCACTATTTTTAATTATAAGAACTCTTTTTTTAGGAGTGGTACAATACTGTATGATAGATTTAGTGGAATGTTATGTACACAAAAGGCAGGAGACAACCTATACACATAATTATATTTAAAATGATGTATATGTCAAATACAAGGAAAGCAAGTCTATTTATTTCAAGGCAATTCAGAGTGCTTTAAAAAATGTAAAAACCATAAGAGCATATAGGAGAAATACACATATAAAATAACATTTAAATACATTAACAACAAAAAAGTTAAGAGTTAGGAAGTATTGAATTGGATTTTGCTCCATTAGAATCAAATTAAACAAACATATGTACATAAACATTAGAAGTGAAAGTAAATAATATGCAAAAAACCATAAAATAAAATAGAAATTCACTGTTTATATAAGAAAGTGTTATAACTATAAATAAAATAGTATTACATATATTAAAAATGTACATTGGAATAATAAGTAATACAGTATTTTCTCTCAGCAGTCAGTGTCCCATGTGAATCCAGAACTGAACACAATTAGTTATTTTAAAGGGGACCTATCATGCAAAATGCACTTTTTGATGTCTGTTATACATAAATATATAAAATAAATATGTGTGTCAGGGAACTCACGCAGCGTCAGAAAATAAAACCCTCTCTCTTTTCCTCCGTACTCAAATCTCTAAAAACGGGGCTACAACGGAGCTGATCCAGATTTGCGTCCGATATGACGTAATATCTGAAATGTAGGCTGGCTTTACACCCACGGCCCTATCAGAAACGTTGCTATCAGAAACAATGCCCGACTGTTTTGGACGTAATATGGTCGGTGCATGTTTACATTAGACATGTTTTTTTATATTTGTATATATCTGAGACCTATGCTATTGCCTAAAAATAGCATGATATGTGACCTTTAAGTAACGTGCATACAGTAATTACATTAGGCTTACTCAGTAACCACATAATGTAAGTATCATATTTACTACTTGTATGTATTTTAACCCAAACCATGTCACAATACTTCAGACGGACCTTCCAGTAATATTTCCTGTGGATAAGGTAACAGAAACATGATGTTCTTGAACATGTTGTCGTGCTTTTCTTGTGTTTTTCCATGAGGCAGACTCACTTTTCATCATGTTTTACATTTAATTATGTATATTTTCCCTCCTAAAACAGTTCAACAGAGGATTTAAAATCAATGCTGAATGTGCACTCTGTTTCCCGACTTACATTTATCATTTCTAGTATATTTATGATACACTTTGGCAGTGGTTTCCTGTAGGATTTGGCAAAAGGAACTCAGATGCAAACGGGAATAAGGCGGGGAGACTGAGGGATGTGCTAGCTGGTTCATTCTTGTCTCATTTGTGAACTGAAAATCATTACATTCATCAAATAATGTACTTTATAACACAACCGCAATACTTCCTGACTGACAGTGGCTCAGTCAGTAGGGGCTTGGACTGGGAGCTGTAGGGTCACCGGTTCAAGTCCC